CCCCCCCCCCCCCCCCCCCACCTCCCCCAGTTTGCAGATGGAGTTTCTAGACTCCAATGCTTTCACTCACTAACAAGTCTTAGTTTGTGTGCTGATCTTGTGGATCAATGAACCCACTCCTCCCTCTCTTATGAGAAACTTTGTTCAACTAATAGTCCATTTATTGGTTTAGTGTGGCAGTGCATGTCACTTGCCACTCACATGTTGCTAAGGAAACATCCATGCCATGCCAGAATGTTACCAACTCCACAGAAGGCACCACCTCCAAGGACATCCAGTGAGGGTGAGTTAGACTGTATCATCGTTTTAGAAGCTATCTTTGACAGGTAAGTGACACTCGCCAGAAATTATAATGATTGTGAATTTAGTGTTTGTATATGAATCCAATGACAAATGATTTCCTTAAAAATTGAATTCTGAACAATTTATGAATAGCACAGTAAAGTTCACTGTATGAATATGATGATTACTGGCACTAATAATATCTTATATTCTTAGCCTTGTAAATTCATTGTTTTAACTTGGGTGTTGGCCTGAGGACGTGTTACATTAGAGTGACATGTTACATTATTATTTTGGTCACCGTCATCATTACCAAGTGGCCCATCAGGCTTGGTCTTATCCCGGCATCTCCAGCGTTAAGTGACTAGGAGTATTATTTTCTACTCCCCCCTGGATGGGATGCTAGTCCTTCGCAGGGTAACCCCCAGCATTAAGTTTGCCAGAACCTATTTATGCACCTGGGTGGGGAGAGGCACTGTGAGAGTAAAGTGTCTTGTCTAAGAACACAATGCAATGTCCCCCACCAGGGGAACTTAGGAAAATGTTAAATTTCCCCAAGTCGGAGAGAACTCTGGTAATTTTATTTTTAGCGGAGCTCCGGCCCGAAGGGCCGCCAAGAGGAGCCCCATTCTCATATAGGAAAGAAAAGGAAACCCATGCGTTGATTTCCTCATGGTTATCATGAATAGCGATATTGCTCGTGGGCGCGTACGCACAACGACGGCGACGACGGAGTCACGCAACATGGCGGCCATACTCGAAATAATAGGTTGACAGCCCTGGTTTATCATGCACTTCTTTGATATTGGACATTCATGTTATGATCAATTGACACCTGTCAAAACAAGGTATCCGCTGATCAGTATCACGTGACCACATCGCGGCTCAAGTGTACAGCTCATCGAGGTCACGTGTTTTTTGAGGTTGACCGCTGACCAAGTGCTGGTTTTTGATTGGATCGCGGGCTCATGTCAGGTTAACTTGTTGAAAATGGGGCAGGATAGTTCGGAAGCGGGTTAATGCAAACCCAGGATTAAAAGTTAACTGAATTATAACTTTTTCTCTATACATTTTTTTTTTGCTGCTTTGTTTTGTGTATATGGTGATTATTAAAACTCAAAACAGAAGGCCAAACAATATACAGAAAACCGCACTGCAAAGTTACAAAACTCAAATCAAAATTCTACCTTTTCCTGGATTAGCTTAATTGCGCTCTGAACAACACGGCCCAGGAGCTACGCTTTTAGGCTGGCCTAAATCTACATATTAAGGTGACTTATGATAATCGATGTGCTGAACTCTGGATAGAATGGCCCCGGTTTGAGCCCTGGCCAGGATTAACATGTTATGTTCTGGGGCAAGGCAAGGCACTTAACTCTTACAGTGCCTCACCCGCCTGGGGTATATATCAAATGGTAATGGTTACCGGCAAATGTTACACTGGTGGATCAACCAAAGAATAAAAATGTTCATCAGTTAGTGAAAAGTGTAACAAGTTTTTTGTATTCTTTATTGGAAGTAAATATGAGCTGGCAGTGTTATTACGAGGACATGACCACTATTATTATGGGTTTGCCATGGTTTTCAAAAACATGTTTGTCTCACTAAGCCATTTGAAAAGTAACTTTTAAACTCTGGTCTTACAAGCTGTTTTCACAAAGATGCATTTAATTATTGTATAATTATTACTAATACCAGTTGTATCAAGATGGAGATTCAAGCACGTATGAGAAAAATTGGACTGATTGCGAATGGGAACTAGTAAAACGTGTGCATGGAGTTAATTATAGGAGAATTTGCTAGCAAGAAAATTTGTATTTAAATGGAATATTAAAGTAAAATGTGCTATTTCTAGGTTTTTATGGCTACAATATGTTCTTTGTGGTTGTCACATTATTCCACTTTCCCATCACTGGGGGAGCCTGTGACAACTGATTTTACACTTTCACATATGTCTGAGGAATCTGGGACAGCTGAACAGAGTTCCTCTTCTAGAAGAGTCTTTCCAATTGTATGAAAGCCTGATGAAGACCTACTTGCCTTTGATGTTTGATGTCCAGTTTCCTCTGGTTCCTTTTGGGTATGCAAAGGCAAAGAACAGTCTAATTGTTGAGCATTTGGAGTAGATCCTGCTTTATCACTGTGTGTTTCATAACTGCCACCTTGCCACTGTGTTTGAGGTAAGCTCGCAATTTCTTGAAAATATTCCTTCTTTGCTGTAGCTTGTTGAACGTGGACTTCAGGTTGTGGTGAATTGCTCTCTATTTGCTGTAACACAGACTGTACCAGAGTAAAATCCAATTGAGGCAGTTGTAAACTGAAGCTGTCCAGTATACTCACTGCAATTCCATCAGCCAGATCTGAGCTGAACATGTTCCAGTTAAGGTCATCAGTTACTGGGTCCACGTTCTACGTGTTTGAGTAGAGGAAAAAACTGTTTGAAGTGATTTCAACATTTAAACTACACTTTTGCAGACTCATACTTGTGAAACTAGAAATTAAACTGCCTCTTCATCTTTCTGACTTCAGAAATGTCAAATTATTACGTAAGTACAATTTTATATTAGAAATACAGAGAGAAAATAAGTTTTAAACAAATCTAATTGATTGTTACACTACTGCCTGGTGGTAATTTTCTATTTGGCCCTGCAGATAACTATTCTCGTAAAAGAAGTTGAGAATTATCCACAGGTGTGCTTCTAAGCACAATGAATAGTTGGACAGGAAGAAATAAATTTTTGTTACTATTTGTCAGATCCATGTAATAGAAACAGTGTTGATGGGAAGGAGAAAAAGCAGGCACAGTCTGGTAAAAAAATAATAGCAATTCATGTGACTTCAAAACCTGCAACACCGCTTAACAATGTTCTTAAGACAGAAAATGTTGAGAATTTCCTGGGGAGGCACCTGCTGGATCAAATCATGCTATGAAAATTTTTTCTGATTCAAAACTGAATTCCCCTCAGGATGAATTTGAAATATATATGACAAATAATGTAGTAAAGAGAATTTGGGAACTGACCCTAGGCCTAGGGCTTGAAGAGTCGATACCCTGTTTTTGCTTGGATGTTTTTGTAATGTTTTGCCCATCTAGTAGCTCCTCTGAAACATCCTTTTCGTGATGGGATTTTACGGTCTGATCACCAACATTGCTGCTTTTAACTGTATTTCTCTGCAACAACTTTGGATTTTGTGATTGGTCTAACCCATTGTGCATGGTCACAGCATGGAAGGTAGTCGGTACACCATATGGGTATCCATGGTAACACATTCCTGGATGGCACCACATGAGAGGTGTAGGTACAGCTGGACACTGATGACCAAAGTATTTTTCCCAAAGTCGTTGCTGCACTTCCTGGCCAATGAGAGTTGTGTTTGCTAGGCTAAAATGAGCCATGTGCACCCCACCAGGGAACTGTGGGGCATTGATATTGTCCTGGTAGTGACTCATCCGGGAAGCTGAAGAAAAGTAATTTGAGTGATCAACAGCTAATTTCTCCTGATAATATTAATACATTGTTGAAAATAGTGGTGATGAGAATAAAGGTAACCATCAATGAGGATTATTGTCTTGCTCTGCTACGTTCTCCAAATTTGACAGTAAAAGAAATGAAATTGAAGTCAAAAACTTAGGAGAGTTCAGCTTTACAGGAGTTTCTCAAATCGCACAATGAAGCATATTTAGATGTTGTTTAAAATGTTATAACCTTAACCGTGGTCAGGATTGAGCCGGTACCAATCGGTATTTCTAATTTCTTCCATCGGAAGAAAACCAACGACATTTCGTGAACCTACCTGGCTTTTAAAAAAATCTCTAACGATTTTGATTTTCGTGATCAGTCAGTTGAGTACAAGACTTAACAGTGAATCGATTCAAAGCCATACGAATTCAGTTTCTGTTCTTCTCTCTTCGTTCTTGTCGCTCGCGAATGTTGACAGTTTGTTGATCGAAGGCTATGGGAACCATGAGGTCAGTTGTCAGCTCGCGTCAAGGGCATTTTCGTAAAGCGCGAGCTCTTCGAAGTTTGTACAAGTGTAAACTCGCTCTTTGGTTTGACTATCTCGGTAGCAAATATGCCCGGGCCGCAATTAAATCAATTAGCTTATCATAAAGCAAATCGTGATCGAAAGCTTCATTTGCTGATTAGGCGAGTTATCAAAGGATTGATCATTCTTAAACTAATTGCGCGCGAAGAAATGAAACGCAACATTCCACTTCATTTTTGTGCACAAATAAAGCAAAAGCTGTCAAGAGCAGTTCTGTGCCATGCAATCGAAAAAAATAAAACAAATTAATACTTACAGACAACATAGTTTCACAGTTGTGGACTTCGTGTCCGCCATTTTGATAACTTGAACCCAGAGCCTCTCGAGATACTGTAACCGTTAGCTTGTACCCAGAGACAAACTCAGGGGGTCGGGAGTCGGTATTTTTGAGCAAAATTAATTTATACAATGCAGCACGTATAACCCTCCGATAGTCGCGGAGTTTGGAAAGCGTTTGTGCTGGACGTAGAGTTGAATATTTCTGGAATTCACAAGCTGCGAAAGATCAAGAAGTACCCTTCGTTTTGTTTGGAAAATGCTGTTTATAAGAGGCAAGCTGGAGGTAAGCCTTTATAAGCTCCAAAAACGCCAAAGTTCACTGTACAACAAGAAGTTTGGTATACCACCAGATGTGAATGGTTCCCTTTGGCAGATTAGGCCTGAATTGTAATCTCATATTCGTTGAGTTGTTTGTATTTAGTTTTTTTGAGACTAGTCGAGAGTGGGGAACTTGTTTGGGGTAGAACTACTGTACAAGAAAAGATGGACGCAGTACAATTTGCCAAAATGCCTTACGAACTTAAGGGGGGTCCTTCTGAACTACAGACTTAGAGCAGTTGCTAATTGATAGCTAAAGGCAATATTTTGCAGGAAAGCTATTTTAGAGTGTTTTGCAGTGCTAAATCGTGAATTTTATGAGAAAAAAAACACGACTTCGCGTGCTTAACTAGTGCCAGTCGAAAACCGCGCGTAAAAATTTTAAATCTCTAAAACATAGAAAAAGTGAGGAAGAGTTGCGATTTTTCTTTTGAATCAGAAATAACTTAGCCTTCGTTGTAACTGTAAGTGTGGAATTACTGTTAACACGAAAAAGAGGAAAGCTACTGTAGAAAGTCTGTTAATACAGCTAATGCTTGTTTATTACCTCGTAACATTTATGATAATGCGAGTTTCATAAAACCCATACATAGCATTCAGTACCTGGATGTTCTTAATCTACTGACACTGATTTAAATTTTCGGAATTAGGTGGCTTTTAAGTTTTAGGGGTTTTTTTTATTCAGGTCACATGACTGGTCAGATATGGCCGTGATTTGAAACCTTTGCAGGAGTCTTAAATGGAACTAACCTGTGCAAAAAGTTTATCCTTAGGAGGTCTGGTTTTCAAAATATGATGGTTAGAAATCTCCCATAGCAACAAATTCATGGCAAATTGGTGGTTAAGAAGGACCCCCCTTAACCCACTGAGATTTGTCTCTGCACTAGCAGCATTACACATCTAACATTTCAAGTTTTTAGAACCTTTCTGTGCTTTTTATGAGCCTGCATTAAGATTTATGTACCAGTCAATGAAAGCCCCGCTCCCCCCCCCCTCCACCCTGCCCCAACCCTGAGGATAAAGTGAGGCTTCTCTCCTAAATGGGCTTATTTCTTATTTCTGTTGGCTCATACTGGATCTATTTCATTTTAAATAGTAGCCTGTAAACAAGCTAATATTTACATGTCTATGAGCAGCAAAGCTTTGAGAAAAGTGAACCTGCTCTGATATCTGAAAATTTTTCATTTCCACGCCTGAAACTGCAGAAAAATAAGCCATTTAATTTTCATTGGAAGAATGAAGTTTGGCAGGTCACATTTCACTGGAAAATGTTCAATTCTTTTACATCAATATGCCAGAGCAAATCATATCAGAAAACCTTTTACTCCATAAGAAAAAGACCCTACAGGTGCAACTTCATAAATGAAGCTTTCACCATCATTCATCAGTGCTAAGCAAAGACTTGTCTAGTATAATTGAGAATTTGTTTCAACTGCAACATAACTATACTGCAGTTAGTCAGTTGCCAAAACCTGTGGTCCTACTTTCCTCATTCTGCCCATTTTCTAATAGTGACATTGTCCTCTCCAATTGATTTATTTTGCTTCCTCCCACAGTTTCTGATGGAAAATGAAAAGATTGGAGTGGAAGTGTCTGCATCATTAGCAAATGGTGAGTATGGCTTTATTTTTAGGACAATGGATATTCCTTAGAGAGGGACTATTTAAATGTACTATAAGACATTTTCCAGAGGACTACAGGAATTTTCTCACTCACTTACTGTATTGTTGTAATTATAGTACCATTATTTGTTTGATTGCTCTCTCTTGTACGGAAATTCTTCCTGAGAATTAAGCCTTTATAGTTAAGGCCTCCTTTGATGAATTGAAGCCTTTTTTCACTCCTTAGTTCTGGTGGGTGACACAAAGCAATATTTTCAGTAGGCTTGAAGTGGCTACTCACATCTGAATTTTTTTTGGAATCTTTCACTTTTAATTAAGTTTATAAATACTAGTGTCCAGAAATGTTGTTTGGGGTGGTGGGTGTTTGCTTCAGCTGATTGTTGTCCTGCATCAACCTTTCTCTGTTCCTTTATAGTTCAGAGGGAAAATACATGTAATATGCTGTCTAGATATTATAATAGTATTTCCAAATAGGTGATTAAAATGTGCTTTGGCTAAAGATTTCTGATCTACAGGATCTCCAATATCACCAGCAAGAATATGGTTGCTAAAACTTATTTTTGCTTCTTACAACAATTGTTGATTCATGTTGATGGAACAGTTTGCAAAGGATTGCGGAAATGCATCTCAGCTGTTTTATGGCAACAGGTGAATACAGTTTATTTTCTGTTCTTCCAAAACATGTGATTATCTCTTTTGAACTGGGAGTTAAGGAACCATGCACTGGTAATTCTCCTTCATAGCGGGTTACTTGTGACATCATGCAAGGCTTCTTTCCAGAGAGAAGATGAAGTGTTGTGTGATGATCCAAATAACAGGTTTAAATGAGACTATACCTCAGCTATTTTAAGGGCCTGTTGACTGATCTTTTTGAGTTTTTGCTAAGGAAAATTGTTATATAACCTACTCACATTTAGCTAGTTATATTAGTTATTTCATGTTCTTTTTGCTTTTCCATGGTCTGACTAACGTCATGCTGATGTCAACAGGCCACAACCATGTCCATGTGACTAATTCTAAAAAACTCTTTAAAAAAAGATTAAAGTACAATATGTTTTAGTGCAACAATAATGCAGACACTGAGGGCAGGAAAAAAATGAAATTCAATTGCCTAGTGGGCCAGTAAATTTCAGTTTTCACCTGCCCTCACTTGTCATATTACTTACGGAGAAAGATATATTACTTGCCGACATGGCAGCCAGTATGGCAATCAGTTGACAAAAGCAAACAAAGTATGCTTGGATTCCTAACTAATCTATGCTTTCAATTCAATGGTTGACTAATCTTGCAGTCTTAAGTTTTGTAATAACTTCTGACTGGAAATTATCATTATTATTCCAGCTGCCATTTTCATTCAGACTCACAAGACTACTGAGGCTAATTTCACTTGCCCACCAGGTCACTGAAATTCTATTTTCACTTGCCCAAGAGCAAGATTTTTTTGCCCCTGGCAATCAGACTTGGGTTTTTCCTGCTCTGAGATAGCTTGCTGCTATAAATTTTGTACTGTTTCTGTTCATTTTGTGGAGTGTTTTGAACACTGTCATCTCTAATTATAACGAGTAAGAAGAATGGAATTAATTTGATTTTCCAACAGCTTCTGGACGACTGTCTTTATTAGTTCAGTAGAACAATTCATAACTGACAAAAAGTTTGGAAAGGACCTTATTGCTATCACAAATGTTGAGTACAGTTTCGGTCTTTCTCAGTAAAAATAATGTATATGAAGACTTGATTGATCATCAAAGTTATATACACAACTTACTGCTAAGCAGTTGTGAGCAACTGGGTGCTGATCACATTGTGAGTTTGTGATATACCCACAGACAGTGAAGATGCAAGTGAATGTATGAAAGATCATATGTTTGAACTGCGGAGAAAGATATGAAGACATGATTGATCATCACAGTTATATACACAACTTAAGCAGTTGAGAGATTAATACAGTTTCTTGTCTGTTGTTCCAAAACATGTGATCATCTCTTTTGAGTTGGAAGTTAAGCAACCATTCTTCATATCCTTCTCTGCTGTTCAAATATATCTTTCATATATATACTTGAAAAATAATGTACTTATATATCCTAGTTAGGGCCTGTTTAAATGTATATGTATGTATGATTTTTAAAACGCTCTCCTGGGGACCCTTCAAAAGTGCCATCTTCTTCCAAATTCTATTGAGAAACTATTTAGACTTATTGTAGGGCCGAGAACTCGTGATCGGAGAACCAATCTTTTTCTTTAGAGAAAGGCTTCTATTAGTATGCTAGTATGGTAAATAAAGATTTGTAATGAAAGACGCCCATTCTGGAGCATTTGCGATCCTAACATAAAATTTTAAAAATACTTTTCTCAGATTAAATGTTGGGTTGCATCTTCATGATCAGCTTGCGCTCGCCTTCAGAATATATAACAAATGATTCTTGAGGTTTGGGAGAAAATTCTCCAATCCCCAACGAGGGCTATAAACGATAGTATGAAACTTAAATAGGAAAGCAAACTATTTCTTTCAGAAATGCTTAAAAACTACTTACTAATTATAAATGAGTTCTAATTAACCTGAGTAGAGGTCATCTTCAGAGTCGAGTGAGAAGCTTTACAGGTTGATTGACAAACTTGCACTTTTCACTTGACTCTGAAGATTAGTTCTGCTAAGTTTATCAAAAAGTCAGTCAGTTATCAGCAACAGATCTTTTCATAACTACCTTACGCTTACTTTTTATGTTATTTTTCTTTCTAGATTCAAAGACAAACATCGGAAAGCTCAGTGGAGTTACCAAGAGCGAAGCAAGACAAAGCAAAGCAAAGCATATTGTAATAAAATGACTTTTGCGAGAAAATTATCGGGGAATAATTGCTGTGTGTTTAAGTGGCCGAGGAAAAAACCCGGGAAAAAGTCCACAAAATTGTCTTGGATTTAAAGTCTTGGATTAAAAATTCTCGTTTTAAAGCGAACGAGAAAAACGTCTGAGAAAAACCTTAGTCTTTTGGACGGTAATATTGTCTTGAGGCAGAAAAAATTGCGCGTTCAAAGCGACCGGAAAAAATTCAGAAAAAACTAAGACTTTTGGCGGGAAAAAATTTTCTTGTTTGACGATATTGCGCTTTTAAAAGGGTCCAAAGAGTCTAAAAAAAACTAAGTCTTTTGGCGGGAAAATTGGCCTTAGAAAAAAAAGTCTGCGCTTTTGAATGGTGTCTGGTTTTGATTCAAAGATATACTAAGTCTTTTGGCGGGAAAAATCTTGCACCGTGCAACGGATTTCTCCCATCAAAAGTCAAAGTATATGTTTGATTTCTGGCTAGACCCTGTTCAAAAGTGCAGAATTTTTTTTCTTTTTGGCAGCCCTACATAGTCAAAAAACAGTAAAAGAGATAGCCTACATTCCGACTAGTTTCCAGTCCCCTTTTAAAAGCGCAATAGTTTTTTTATTTCTTTTGTAAAATGAAAGAAAAAAGAGAAATAAACAACCATTGTTGTAGAATATTTTATTGTTTTGTTCCATTAATGTAATTTACAAGGTAAACTTGTTTACAACACTTTAAATCTGTTCATCATTATTAAAGGAGATGAAAAAAATTCAAAGTCTGAAAATTATTTGTTGAAACTGCTAAGACGAAATTCCTTATTTCAAGAAACATTAACTCTGAAAATCTAAAATTATTACAATTACCTGAACTAGAATAATTCCGGCAAAAATTATGTGAATTTTTAAGAAATACAGTGAAGTACCGTGGCAACCATGCATGTTTTAGTTTTCAAACGTTTCTGCCAAACATATTTTCCTTCTGGTTAATAGCATGTCGAATAATCAAACAGCAAAATTTCGTGTGATTCAAGACAATTTCAGCTGATTGCGCGAAACGACACGAAATTCAAAATTTGAGTGTAGTTTGGTGCATATCGAATGTGACTGTAAATCGAGAAATTTAAGACAATTTTAGCAGTAAACAAGCCTAAAACGAATTTTTTTTTTTCCAAGAAATGTGCTTTAGTCTGTGGTTTCAATAACATGGATCCGCGCTTATTCAGTCCTTTCAATCCCGAGGTCTAAGTATAAATTCTCTTTCCTAATTCTTATCTGTTCTTATACATTTCTTTTCGTATTAAGTACAGTGTAGCTGTAAACGTGAGAATTTGGCGATAAGTCAAGACTTTAATTAAATGCAGATTTTCTGTTCATTCTTTGCTGCACAATGCACTGACTTTGTGAGGAGAAATTGACTGTCGATCAGAAACTGTATCTAAACTCTTTGCTATTGTCCATTACCTAACGAAGCATCAAGTCAGAAACCACCCAAACATGATCCAAATCTTCCTCATGTCGGCAGGCATCCTTGTGTCCATAAGAGTCCAAGACTAGCCATGAAAATTCACGAATGAGAGTCTATCAGAGTCGGCAGCAAGGAGTTGCTAAGGAAACATAAGCAAAAGATCGACTTAACACTTAAGCAACTAAATACATATTTCGCTGGACAAATTTTATCTACATGCGCATAAAGGTCTCAACTCAACTGATATAGCTAGATTAATATATTCAGTATATTAAATCGAACTCGGCTCCCAGGCTTAAGAGAAAAAAAAGAAATCGCATTGAGAATGAGAAAATGTTTTTTGTTTGTTTATTCCCCCAAGCCTCGGAGCGAAGTTAGAATTTTGATATGTATCGGAATTGACCTATTGCTAGAAAAATGGTTTTCTTAAATAAATTAGACTCGGAACTGTCAACTACCAAGTCGTTTATTTTTCGCATTTTTGCTGCAAAAGTGACGCAAGTGTTTTGTGTATCATAATATGTTAACAAAATCAGGATAACATCTACTCTAAATTCCCGGTGTGAATCTGTTTACCTCACCTAAATCACGTTGCTTATAATTAATTTGCATTATAATGAAAACCGACTGGAACTGTGGAGAATGCGAACTTTTGAAGGTCATTCAAGGTCACCCAACTCCAGAAGGGAGAATAGAAAGACAGTGCTCAGCTTAACGAAAATATCTGCCTACAATTGTTAATAATATGATTATATTTATGATGAAGGCCCTCGAGAAATAAATTCAGTTCAGCCCTTGACAAAAGTGTTGCCCTAATCAAGTCCTCTTACGAAGAAATATACTCCCACAAGAATTTTTTGTTTAGAAACGGACTGTAAAACTCTCAGTATGTTTTTCTATTAAAAGAGGTTTTTAAAAAGCCCGCTATGAATCTCTATGATTTCTAAAAAAAATTCAAAGGGTTAAGCTCGATTAGGTAGTCCCGAACAGCTCTGCGAATGCTGCGAATGCTGTCTTTCCTCTCTAAGTCTTTTGGCGGGAAAATTGGGGAAAAAAAGGCACGGCGTTTCCCCTGGCTGCGGGCAGTCTTTTCAAATGCAATTGACATTAATCTCTTTTTAATGTTATTCCCCCTCATGAGCCTCAATTGCAAGCTAGTTCCAGTCCAATACCGAGAATACGAATATCGCTTAATATCCATTTTAAAGCTGATTTGTTTTTTATGAGCAAAACCGTTACTTGCACAGACCACGTTAAAACGCGAAGACACCATAAATACAGCGCTTGATTTTTTCAGTCTCTTTGATTTAGCACTTTAGAAAAGATAAGCGACAACTTCACTCGTCCTTTATATTGTTCACTGCACTAGTAAACTACTAAACGAGGAAAAAAGGCGGAAATTGTCCAGTTCGCCGTTTTAAATAACAATGAAAAAGAAAAAGTTTTCTATGATTTTGTGTGAGTTTAGAATAAGACGCAAAAGGCCAAAGTAACTTATTCTTTAAGTATTGCTTTGACAGGGAAGATTTAAACGCCGTGATGTCTGATTAAAGAAAGAATAATTATTCTAATCGTTTCTATTAATTTAAATCCCGCCAAAAAAAAAATAAATATTGGTCAATATTGATAAAAGAAGTAAAGACCCTCAATAATTGCCGGTTTCTTTCTTTTTTTGGGGGGGGGATCATTCCAAACTTGGTCGAGTTACGTGGAAGATTGAAGATAATATTTTCCCCAAGTTTTCTTGAATCAGTGTTAATTGGTTATCAGGGACCGTCGCGATCGTAGCAAGAGATAAGCACCCTAAATGATTTCTGTTTTGTTGTTCTTTTCGTTCCCTCAATGAAAAATGGGTGATCGATTCACTTTCTCTCAGCGCTTGCCTCTTAACAATATCTTATTCTGAAAGAAATATCATAATGTCAAATTGTAGAAAATTGGAGATATGTAAACCTCAATGTGCGATAAGTGTGTTAGAGGAAATTAACAGCCAATCGAAATAGTTAAACTTTAAATATTTTGTTTCCCTACATAACTCCAACCCATTTTCAGACTATATGTATTTCGGAATAGCATTCATTGCATTCTCAAACTTACACTAGTGTTTCTATGACTGGATAAGAACACGATAAACGCTGTCTCTTTCTTCAGCAAAATACATTCAGCAACCATTTTATGGAAATTTTATGATAATTTTCATGTTCTTACCTTTGGGGAATGTTATCATTCCTGATCCAGTGTTTGATTCACTTTGTTCGCGTGCATTTGGCTTTCTGTTGTCCATGTTATTTTCCTGAAAATAAAAATATCGTTTAAATATCGACATCCTTAGATTAGTGATGTTTGTATTCGAAAATGCGCAAAAATGTTTGGCGGTTAATTTAAAGTCCTAACGCGCGTGGAAATGTCAACAACTTCACTCGAACAATTAATAAAGTTCTCAAAGAAAACGAAAAAAGAAAAAGAAACTTTGTCTGTCTTCTAAATGCTAGCGCCACGTACGTCAAAGATCTCAGCGTACTTAGCCGCCTTAGAAATACAGATATACGCTTATTACAGGGCTGATTTAAAAATTGTAAGCACTTTCCCCCCATAATTTGCTCTCTAATAGAAGATTTTATTCAGCGTTACCATCAATCCATATACCTCGAAACAGTTGCAATTACAGTGCAAAAATAATACACTGTTTAGACTTAAGAATTCGTGTCTGCTGTGTCGTCTTGTCGATCGATTTGTCGTTCCGTAAAGCGAAAGGAAAGCGCACGTGTTTGTGAACTTCTTGACGCTTCTCGCGAGGAAAGAAAGCTTACAAACTTCACAGAGCAGTCGAGGGCTTACCTTTGGTTAGACTTGAGGTAGAGACGTCTTTTATATATCTCATGAAACCTGCTCCATTTGCACGCAAGCTTGTCGTTAGAAAGACGACATACCTCCTCGCATTCACTAACTGATTAATGAACGTCCGACCAAAGCTTCAATCTCTCATGAATATAGATAGCATGTTAAAACTGCTCGACGGCAAATAAGCTAAATATTCGGAGACATTTTTTGTTTTCACGCTTTTTCTGTGAGCCAATCCAGAACCGCGAAAACATAAAGCAACCCACCGTGCCATCCGAAATTAGCATAAGTTAAACGAATTATTTTCGACACGATAGAAGGAAAGACAAATGAGAAAGAACTGAGCTACTGGACACTCCTTATGGGGGAAATATTCGTCAGTTATTTTTCTGCAAGTTTTTGGATAAAGCCGAGGTCCATAAACTTTGAACTAATTATTAAAACGGCCCTTTTACCGTTCTACAAGCAAATGCGCGAACCACAGATCGAGATATGCGTTTTCAGGTCGCTTTTGCGAAATATCAATTAAATATTTGTAAGCGGTCATCTTTAGCTAGAGGTCCGTATTGAAAAATTAGGACCGTTCAGGCCCGTACACGCCACGCTGTTGAAATTTGAAAACGGTTAATAGCATGTATCGTATAAGAGAGATGAACGTAAATGTCTTGTACGATGTTTATAATGTGACTAGTGCTTCGTGTAGGAGGTTGTGTGGTGTTTCTGTCTCGACATCGACCGCAATTAGTGTGAACAGACTTCTCGCCCTGTTGTTGGGACTGAGGTACAGACATGTCTTAACATTAAGGCGCGTTCGAGTAGTTCTTATTTGTTTTTGGTTGATTCAGTTGGTGCTTCAGCTGGATCGATCCGGATGTGGAGAAGAGATATCACCTTTCTGATAGCCTCTGTCTCCTTGACACTCTCGATATAAGTTGCCAAAAAAAGCCCAATGGAAACTGAAAAGATAGCCCCAAGGCCTTAGTCATTTTCCATGTTTCAC